GGAGCAGGGTCTGCCTGCAAGGAGGCTTCGCTCCCAGCTCCCAGCTCTGCAGCGGCACGGGGATGTTCCTGCCCTCCAGCTGGCAGCAGCAGGAGCTGGGCTGGGTCTCCCTAGGTGGAGGGAGGATTATCTGGAGAAGTAGGAATTGGAAAGCCTTGTTAACAAAACTCTCCTAGTTGGTCGTTTGTAGGGAAGCTAGGAATAACCTGAAGAGGCAAAGCAATGTGAGCAAAAAACTAAAAAAAAAAGTTGTTTAGAGATAATTCAATAGTCCCAGGGACGTGTATTTCCAAACAGGAAGGCAGAGTTTAAAGGGACCAAGAGGAGTGTGGCTCAACAAGTAATTTTCAACAGCACGATTTTGTTTGAGGCAATAAAAAGACTCCGATCTCTCTGACCATCATGATGCTTGCCTGCAGAGCCCTGTGTTCACCTCTTGCTGTTACCTCCTCCCACACAGCTCTATTGATCATCACATCCAGCAAAGGTCTCATTTGTAATTGCTGTTCAGAGTAGAGATCCTCCGTATGTTTGCACAAATCCTCCAGTCTCTTTTTGCCACAGGGAAGGCTAAGGTGTCAGACATCAGGCTGGTAGTGAACCACTCACAGCGAATCCCATGTCCCAGGCTGAAGCGAAAATGCAGCTACGTGAAGTACTGGAAATGATGGGCTTGCCAAAGCAAAGTTTCTTAGAGCAGAGAAATAACACAGGCTAAGAAAAATGCAACACTTCGTGTGAAGAGGGAGATATATGGTCTATTCAACTTTGAAAGCAGTGTCTGTGAAGCTTGATGAAACATCCAAGCCATATTTTATAGTCCAAGGATTACTCATGCAGTGTTGAAAACAGCACAGAGATGCTCAGAGAACATCACTGTTTTCTTTCCAACTTGCACTTCCAGTAAAAAGCTGAATTTGTTAGTTCCCCCAGTAAAATTTTGGTTGAATGTGAAGGCAATTACAAATTTCTGTTTCCAAAAGTTGTTGTATCTGTCTGGCTACAGACACCCACAGAACTGTACGTTTCTGTGCCCATTACTGTGTGTCGCAGTGACTCTGAAACTGTCACTGTCCCCTGCTCCCTATTCAGCCATTCCAGTAGACATTGTCTCCAGCACTAGGGAGTAAAACAAGTCGCAGGATGCAGGATAGCTGGATACTAAACAAGAGTGTCAGAAGCTACCATGTCAAGGAGCAGAACAGGGTCAAGGTATAAAAGCGCAAAATTGCTGTTTACAACTACAAAAAGGCATGTACTTTTTGACAGCATCAGTAGCCAGTCAGAAGACAACTCGCTATGAAATTAGGGGAGTCTGTGGCACTACAGAGCTCACTCCAGATAGTGCACTCAAAATGCCGCCAGACCTCAGAGATGGACAGCTCTGTGGCAGCTATGTGTTAATCCAAGCTTCTCAAAGCTAACTTACTTTCTCCATACAAATTCTACTGCAGACGAGGTGCAAACAGGACACAGCCAATCTGCATTAACATCTGTATATCAAGTGGATAATTTTTGAAGTTGGGCACAGTATATGCTTTTCATAATCACACCCTTCCATCATGATTAATTAATGAATGCTTCTAAAAGGGGAAATAAAGGAGGTTTCTGTTGATGCTGGTGTAAAATAATGAGCATCCATTGAGCAGTACTGATACTTTTATGAGTTCCAGTTTTGGCTTGACGTAGACAGAGTTGGATGGGTTTTCTGACTACTAGACCATAGAGATCAGCGTGAAGCATTTGTTCAAGTGCTTTACTGAATCACTGAAGGTGGACATCTGGCTTTAAGTGGCTGCTTTAAGGCTTTGCTGAAAAGTAGTGGGCTCTTATAAGTGCTTTGTTGAATTGCCTTCATTTATAAACCTCAATTAAAAAAAAAAAGTTACTATAATATACTATTGTTGGTTTTCTGAATCAAGAAATTTCTTTGGCTGAAATCTGGAACAGCGAGGAAAATCTAAGATAAGCCAGGGTTCTGCCACATTTGAAGCAATACTTCAAAGAAAACATTTGTTTCAAGATGCCAATTAATCTTGATGAGTAACAGATTGGAAAAACACCATCTAAATAAAAGATGCATTCTCACAAGAACAGCACATACACAAATGCTAACGCAGACACTGAGGCTACAAACTCCCTATTAAACTAACCCCAAAATGGGTGCAAGAGGGGTGGGAACAGGGACCCAGTGGCTTCTCAGAAATTACATTCGTAGCCTGCGCGTTTCTGCGGGCAGAGCGATCGCAGAGGCTGTGCACTAAGCCACATCTCGTTTCATACTTGGAAGCAGGCATGCAAGCCTCACAACGGTCATGCACCACAGGCTCTGCCCTTAATGTTTGCTATACAAACTGCCACCAATTTTGGTTGATGATCACATTGTAGCTCCCCGTAGTTTCCAGCATCTTCCTAGTTGCCATGAGAATAAAAAGGAAAATAGCAATGGGTAGGTTTTTATGATCCATCCTGAATTCACCACCTCAGCCGAGGTAATTTTAAGAAGCACCCCTGGTTACTGCAACAGTCCCTAGGGAGATGACGAGCAGCTTAGCCTACGTCATTCATAGCTTCCCTTTTCTTTCTACAGAGGCATTTGAAAACTCCCTCAAGGTCACAGTATTAGCCCTTATAAACTCCTTGTACTCAAATCACAGAATCACATAACATCAGGGGTTGGAAGGGACCTTGAAAGA